AAACTTCAAGTTGATATTGGTTATTCGGACAAGGCTCTCCTCTGAAGAGAATAGTAGCGTTATCGCCTTCCAGAAAAGGTAGGCTCACACCGTTCAGCATTTGGAATTTAACACGTATAATTCTAATCTCAAAGCTACTCTCAATTTTAAATTGAAAGGGAACAAAGCCATTGACAACATTAAAAAATAAAATGATAAATAAATTAATAAATTTAATTTTATAAATCATTTAATAAATTTCAATTCCTGAAAAAATTTTTAAAATTAAGGCATTTTATTTTTAAATAATCTGTAATCAAAGTTTTACAAAAAACTAATTCCAGCTTATTGACCAGTGTTAGACACGACCTGTTTTAAAACCGGAATTTATGTTTTAAAAACGGAACCGAGGGTATCGGTTAATAACCTGTTGTGTCCAACCCTAATACATACTTATTAAATGTCAAGGAAATAATGAAAACTAGTAGTATTGTAAATTTAAAATTGCTACTACCTAGAGGTCCTAATAAGAGGTAATTAAGTATTAATATAATAAGAAAATCAGCTTTTCAATTATCATCTTTTTAGCTATCAACTTTTCAACTATCACTTTTTCTATCAACTTATAAACCTTTCAACTATCCCCTTTTTTATCGGTGTCACGACTTTTGCGCCGAGAACATTTGCGCCGCGACTTATGCGCCGCGACTTTTCCGCCGGGCGACTTTTGCGTCGCGACTCTTGCGCCGGGCGACTTATGCGCCGCGACATTTGCGCCGCCAATGTTTAAAAAATCCGGATCCGAAAAAGGCTGGATATCCGAACTTTTCAGTTCGGATATCGGATCCGGATATCCGAAGATTTCTAACTATCCGACAAATCTACTATAGTGATTTCCGGCTGAAGTTATTCATATATTTTTAATGATAGTGGCGGCGCAAAAGTCGCCCGGCGCAAAGTCGCGGCACAAAGGTCGCCCGGCGCAAAAGTCGCGCGCAAAGGTCGCCCGGCGCAAAAGTCGCTCGGCGCATAAGTCGCGGCGCAAAAGTCGCGGCGCAAGAGTCGCGGCGCAAATGTTCTCGGCGCAAAAGTCACGGAACCTTTTTATCAAATTTTCACCTATAAGTTTTTTACAACTTCTCACTTTCATCTATCACTTTTTATCAACTTATCAACAATAACTTTTTTATCAACTTTAACTATCAATTTTTTATCAACTTTTCATTTATAACTTTTTCATCAACTTATCAACTATCCCCTTTTTTATCAACTTTTCAACTATCCCCTTTTTTACAACTTCTAAAGGAAATTTTAAAATTCTATGAGTAAATTTCAAAATTCTAAACACTTTTTTAAACAAAATTTTAAAAATTCAAAACACCGTCGATTTTTAAATTTTTTTAAAGTAAAAAAAATAAATTTTTTAAAGTAAAAAATCGAATAAAGATAATAGTGTAAGTGGCATTTGTGGAGGAGAAATTACACGTGTAGGGGGAACGTAGCCGGCGAGAGGGAAGAGGAGTGTGTAAAAATTTTTAAAAGTGTAAAAATTTTTAAAGTCAATAATTGATAAAATTAAATAATTTAAATTTATAATTGTTTAACAAATTGTTTAGTATTTTGAAAGTTTGTCGAATGTTTATTGTAAATAATTATTACTAGGGCTCGGATTTGTATTGAAATATATTTTTTTCCTGAATATTTTATGGCGAGAGAAGACCAAATATGACATTAGTTTTTTGATATTATGATTTTGAACGAAGTTACATTTCAATATATTTCAATATTTTGCCAATTTTTCGGTTATTTCAATATTTTTGCATATTTTTACCAAATTTTAGGGATTTTTCATAAATTTTAGGAAAAAAGTGAAGAAATCTGGCCGCCTGACAACAAAAAATCTAAAAATTTTCGACTGAAAATTTTCGAAGAAAAACAATTTTTTAAAGTAAAAAATCGAATAAACATAATAGTGTAAGTGCATTTGTGGAGGAGAAATTACACGTGTAGGGGGAACGTAGCCGGCGAGAGGGAAGAGGAGTGTGTAAAAATTTTTAAAAGTCAATAATTGATAAAAAAATAAATATAATTTAAATTTATAAATGTTTAACAAATTGTTTAATATTTTAAAAGTATTTCTAATTTCTGTCGTATTAATTACTAAATCTGTCATATTTAAACAATTTTGAAATTGAGAAATATGAAAGTCACCGTCTTGAAATCATTCAAGCAATAATTTTAATGAATATTGATAGGTATATTAACTTGGCAAAATTTTGTTTGAATCCGACTCGATCGCCTAATAAAGGTGTGGAAAAATTAAAAATAACAACGGTTGAGACCAAGTGTATGTGTGGATTAAAAAGGTATTAATTAGAAAAAGGTATTAATTAGAGACTCTGATCTTTCCCATAATTCTAGTTATATTCTCCTAATATTTTCCTTAACCTACCGCAGTATTTAGTTCAAAAATCCTGAGAATTTAGGTTACTTGAATTTTAAATTGCCAAAAAACTATCAACATCAATAATTTGTTTTAATTAAGACAGAAATGTTAAAATTCCTCTATTTAAGCAATAATCGAAAATTCTAAAGTTGAAATTTTCAAAAAAAACAAAGAAAACTTATGTTTTCTTAAATATATGTGAATAACAAACTATCTTCAACAACCTTACAATCAAATGTTCGACTTTATCAACAATTTTATTCTTCACAAAGGATAAGGGTACTATGCGTTTATCTCCCTCATTTCCGCAAATGTTTAAAAATGACTACAAATTTCTCTTTTCTTTCTCCTTCCTTCTTTCTCGACTCAAAGATTAAAAATGGTTAAATTAATAATGGAGTGGACCAAAATTACTTCCATAAACTCACCCGAGTTATGGTATACCAAACGCACAATCCGGATCAAAGTTTTTAACACTTAAGAGCTAGGTACTTATTGTCATAGAGTAATGCTCTTGAAGAACACCCATTAAGGTTAGAAAATCTTTCCCTTCTTTCATTTATGAGCAGACAAAGGAGGAGGAAAATAAGAAGAATAAATTGCGAATAACTTTTTGCGGAATTATATGTATAATAGATTAACGCATAGTACCAAAATTTAAAATAAAGGTATAAATAAATAATCGTAGGAATAATAAAAAAATCCCGACAAAAAAAATAATTTAAAAAATTCTTGTTAATGTTAAATAATCCCATTTTCAGTTAAATTCCCCCTATTTTTAATTAAATACCCCCATTTGTTTGTTAAATACCCCCCATTCCCCACCCATTTTCAGTTAAATACCCCCTATTTTTAATTAAATACCCCCATTTATTTGTTAAATTCCCCCATTCCCCCACCTATTTTCAGTTAAATACCCCTATTTTTAGTTAAATACCCCATTCTCATGTTCTCAGTTTTTAAAATTTTTTGTTTCCTTTTTTTCCAAAATGACTCCTCGTTCCTGCATTTATCAATTGTTACGGCTATTTGACTAGATTAAAAAATAAAATATTTATAATTTAAATTAATTCTAATTTTGGATTATTCAAAATTTTTTTTAGATTTCGGTTTGGATATCGGATAAGGGATAATCTAAAAATTTTCTAGAATTTTGAATTAAACTTTAAGTAAAATTTTTTAATTATAAAATAAAATTTTTAAAAAAATACTTTGCCGTTACTGTGTCCTTTGCTTCGGCTGCGACTTCGGCGTATTGGTTGAGAATTCTTATTTTATTAATTTAAATATTATTTTAATATTTTTGATTATTTCACATTAAATTCTTTCAATGTTTAATTTTATGATTACACAGTTTTTCCGAAATATTTTCTTAAGCTTGAAGATAGCTCTTTTGTTTTTGGAAAATTATGGCTGCCCTGGCCTTGTAACTTTCTTCTAAAAATGGCCACCTATTTTTACAACGCCTTTTCATTTTTTAAATTAAAAAATTTCTCATATATTATTAATAGAGCCCGGATTTTTAGGCACAATAATGTTAAAAATGAACAATATTCGGAAAAACTGGGTGGTCAACTATTTTTTATGCAGTGACCATATTATTATATTTTAATTGAGCCTTTTATTTTATTATTCCAGTGACTTTTTTAAAATGGGTCCACTAATTAAGACCCACTAATTAAATTATTTAAAATAAGGATCAAATTAACCCAATTAAATTAACCAAATCAATTTGATCAAATCAAATTAACCCCCCCCCCCCCCCAATTAATTTAAAATTTTTTAAAAATCAAAATATACATTGCTATTTGCTGGAGAAAGAGCAACATTCAAATCTGTTAATTAATATAGTAACAAAATTGATTTTTAATAGATAGAAAGCCTAGACCAATGTCAAATGATTCTTATATGTATCATTTGAAAGCACTTGATAAGTGCTATTTTCCAACCAGATCAAGTTTGAAAGCAGCCCATTAGAAAGTTACAACTCGATAAGTGCCCGAAATACTAGTTTTTTACATTCATTGTAAACTTTTAATAGGCGATCAGTTACATCCATTGGAGAATAGGTAGCGCTTATCGAGAGCTTTCGAATGATATAAGATTAATTCGGATTGGATTAAACAAAGGCCGATTTGTATTAAGCCGATTAAATTCGAAAAAAGATGTGAGGGAAACACAAAAGTGTAACACGAGAGTACCCATTAATTTATATGACATTTAGATGAATATCAGAAGTGAGTCGGAACAGTCAGAGGTGTCGGATGTCGGAACTGGCTCAATAGTCGGAAATCGGAACTGGCTCAATAGTCGGAAATCGGAACTGGCTCAATAGTCGGAAATCGGAACTGGCTCAATAGTCGGAAATCGGAACTGGCTCAGTAGTCGGAAATCGGAACTGGCTCAGTAGTCGGAAATCGGAACTGGCTCAATAGTCGGAAATCGGAACTGGCTCAATAGTCGGAAATCGGAAATCAAGATTTTTTTCGGAAATCAGAAGGAAAAAACGCTGAAAATCAGAATTCCACACACCTCTGATGGGTATTGAAAAATTTCTGTTGAAACACCCTGTATATTATAAATAAATATTTATGGTAAATAACAAATTATTAACCGAATAAGGGTCGATCATGAACTTCTTGTTGTGGTGCTTGTTGAGGAGGAGGATTCCAAATATGTTCATAATTAAAAGGTGGAACTAAAAATTATAAAAAATTATATCAATTTTGGAAGAATAATAACCATAATGGGAGCTACTTCCTCCTCCCTGCTGGGGGTGGTGAAAATGTGAAGAACCTCCTGCTTCAAAATTTGGTCCAAATCCTTTAAAATAATAATATTAATTTTAAAAAGTAAATGTGAATTTTCTCAATTTATATTAAGATTTAATATTAACTAAGTCTCGCTTCCTCTTCCTGTCTTTGTTGCTCTTGCCATATTAAATTAGCTCTAATGTTTTGCTCTTCAAGTTGAGCTTGTGTCAATTGGTGTGATGAACTATCATAACCTAAAATTTATTTTTTATTTAATAATTATTTTAGAATAAATTAAGTAGTATTGATAAGTAATAAAGACGAGATCTTGAATAAAAATCTCCTCAATTGAGAATCATGATTCTTCGAGGTGTTGATCTTGATTCTCATAAGGCCCTCCCAGCCTAGTGTTGTGTATGGGCGTCAGCCCTTAAAGTGTTAGTATAAAAGCCCAGCCAATAGTTAGTTCGTTGTCTCAGTTTTAGTTCTTCTTCCTACCCCAACCTTCGCCTGCTTTGTATTTCTTTGTGCAATAAACGTTTCTGTTAGCTTCCTCTACGTAACCGGGGTCGTAACAGATTTGGCGCGGTCGTGTTCAAAAAGAACCTGGTCTCGACAACAGTCTCGTCAACTTCAGTGAGTGCTCGTCAACGTAAGCTGTGTGCAGTTCAGAAAAAGAAAATCTGTGTGGACAATTGTAGTGTAGTAAAACCAAAAAGGTTAGTGAAATTGTAGTGTAAAGTGTAGTGATAAAAAGTTTATTTTTTAGTGAGTGCAAAATGGATGCAAAAACAGTGGAGAAATTGTTGAAGGCTCAGCAAGAGCACTTTGAGAAAATGTTAGTGAGGCTCTTGAAGCCGAGTGAGTGGAACGACACCGAATTGTACAGCAAATTAGTTGGGATGATTGGTGAGTTCGTTTTTGATTTGACGAGTGGTATGACCTTTGAGTCATGGTTGGGCAGGCATCGGTCCTATTTTGAGGTGGAGGGTAAAACCCTGCCAGAATCCTCTAAAGTGAGATTGTTGTTGAGTAAATTGGGGCCAGAAGAGTATGCCCAAATTGAAAGGAAAATGCTGCCAACCAAGTTGAGTGAAATGAAGTTTGACGAACTCTGTAGTGAGTTAGTGAAAGAGTTTAGTGATCATAGGTCCAAATTGTTGAAAAGGTTCGAGGCCTTAAATGTTAAGTGTAGTGACCTCCAAGATATTGTTGAGTTTGGGAATGTAGTGAATGCTCAATGTGAGCGTGCAGAAATGGCCTTGTCGATTGAAGAATTGAAAATTCTTATTTTTATTTCAGGGTTGCCTAGTGATGCTACCTCAGTTCGACAAGTCGCAATGAAAAGTGTTGAAAGTAAAAGTGAAAGAGGACAGGCAGTAACCTTGAAAGAAATTATTGAAGAGTGTCGGGCATATTTGGCAAATAAAAGTGAGGCACTGTACCTGGTAAAAGAGAAAATTAGTGAAGTGAAGAAAGAAGTGCCTGTAGTCAACACAGTGCAAAAAGTGAAATGTTGTGAAAAGAGTGAAAGTGAAATTGGAAGTGAGTGCAAAAAACAGTGGTCCAAACCAAACGTCAAGTATCAGCAAAATGTTATTGAGAAAAAGTGTAGTCATTGTGGACGTTTTGGTCACTGGCGTATGCATTGTAAGTTCTTGAAGAATAATCAATATCAGCCAAAAAGGCAGTGGAGTAATGATAATAATCATTCAGGTTCTCCATATTGTGCAATTCTGGACATCTTCGATCCAATGCAAAGTGTGGAAAAAGAAGAGTGGATAAAGCAAAAAGTGAAGTTTGGAGAACTTAGTGTAGAAATGATTGTAGACACTGCATCGCAGATCAATGTTGTCACCAGTGAAGTGTGGAAAAGTATTGGACAGCCAAAAATTGAAAAAGTGAATTACAGTGGTGTTGGGCTGGGTGACAACAAAGTGGAAATTGAAGGAAAATTCAGAAGCAAAGTGAGAGTGAAAGACAAAGACGTCTTTATGGAGTTCCATCTAGTGCATAGTGAAGTGTGTATCTTAGGGTTGCCTGGATTGAAAGAAGTGTCAAGTCGGAACCAAAAGCCCAAGTACCAAAAGTGGAATAAAAAGAAGGCACCATTCAAGATACAGAAAAATGCTTTTCCGAACGGCACAAAAGTGAAAGTGAAGAATACCAATAAAAGAAGTGGTAAAATCGAGTGGCTTCATGGAGAAGTAGTGAGAAAGACGGAAAATGCATGGAAAATCAAAGTGTCAGAGTTGAAGAGTATTGTGACCCGGACATTTTAAGAGATCCGTCGAGATGAGTGGAACAATAAAAAGAAATTGTTGAGTGAAGATATTCGGAATATGAATATTAGTGAAGAAAAAGTGTCCAGTGAAAGCAGTGTAACTTCATCGAGTGATAGCAGTGTGGACAACTCCAAGAGGATCAAGTCAAAGATGAAGGACAAAAGCGGGAACAATCCAAATATGAAAGATGTTGAAGACGATAATAATATGGAGACATAGATGAGCCACATATATAAAATTTTGTGATAATATTGTTGTTGTATATTTTTTTTGTAATGTTGTATGTATTTTTTGTTCCCATTGTCCTTATTCCCCCAAAATTATTGTATGTATTTTTTGTTTGTTGTTTGGCTGGAAAGTGTTAGTATATTGTAAAGCTTCGGCTTTAAGTGAAGCCGAACCTTTTTTTTAAGGGGGGAGGTGTTGTGTATGGGCGTCAGCCCTTAAAGTGTTAGTATAAAAGCCCAGCCAATAGTTAGTTCGTTGTCTCAGTTTTAGTTCTTCTTCCTACCCCAACCTTCGCCTGCTTTGTATTTCTTTGTGCAATAAACGTTTCTGTTAGCTTCCTCTACGTAACCGGGGTCGTAACACCTAGTATCCAGTCTTTGTTAGACAATTTTTAAACATGCCAAGATTGTAAGGGTATTGTGTAATTTCATGTCCATGTAATGGATTCACGAATGGATGTGGATTTTGTTCAATAACTGGTTGCTGTGGTATAATGGCTTGTTCCTCAGCTTGTTGCTCATGTGCTTAATACATATTTAGGTATAAATTAAATTTATAAAATTTTTAATAGATGCCCTATAGTCTGGCACTGACTTGATCCTACGCTAAATCACAAAAAAGGAAAATGACTTCTGGGCCAAAGACATCGTTAATTAATAAATGTTTATATGACCCAAGGTTAGACTTGTTGGACTCATGATTAAAAATTATATTTTCGCTATCTAATTAGTATTATTTGGAGCCGGATTAATTTTTACATGGAGTGGCATCCGTTCTGTTAGTCTACTAAATAATGATTTTACTTAATAGATTTGTTACTTACGTAATTGTTGATAATAAAATTGCACGGCTGTATTTAAATCATTTTCGAGTATCCCATAATTAGGAGATCTTTTATCGATATATTGCATTAAAGTACTAATCATTCGAATCTGTTGCAATTGTCTCCATGTTTCAAACAAAAAATTTCCAAAATGCCCATTATAAAAATCTAGCATAAACTTCATCTTTTTTTTCGCTAATCTAGTTAGTACGTTTTTTCCTAAGTTAAAGTTATTATTTAATAACTGGCCAAATTGCACATCTGTGTTTGCCAAATCTCCGACAGTTGGCAATATTGATTTATTACAAGCTTGATTTTCCGAATTTAAATCAGTCATATTAATTGTATAAAGTACTGCAACATCATTAAATTTGTCAATTTCCGGACAATGCAATTTATATATTCTTTTTTCTATCTGTTAAATAAAAAAGTTTTTCTTCAAATTTTAAATGTATTGATAAAATAACATAGACATGTTGGATCCGGATTTAAGATTATTTATTATTAATTTTTTAAATGTTTTTTTTATTTATTTTTATGTTTCTCCCTTTTTTTATTTAAACTATTCCCCCAAAACATATTTCAAATGTTTCTTTGCTTCATATCATTTTACAATAAATTGAGATAAGGCCGGGGATCTTATAGACAAATATTTTTAGGTGTAAACATTCTAGGAAAGATTTATAATTTGTCTTTATAATTTGTCTAAAATCGACTACATTATAATATAATAAACAAATGTAAAATTACATTAAATTGAGGTATTGAAACTTCAAGCAGATATTGGTTATTCGGGCAAGGCATTCCGGCATAGAGAATAGTAGCGCTATCGTTTTCCAATACTGGTAGTATCATATCATTGAGCGTTAGGCATACAATACGTATAATTCTAATCTCGAAGCTACTTTCAATTTTAAATTGAAAGGGAACAAAGGCATTGACAACATTAAAAAATAAAATGATAAATAAATTAATAAATTTAATTTTATAAATCATTTAACAAATTTCAATTCCTGAAAAATTTTTTAAATTAAGGTATTTTATTTTTAAAATATTCTGTAATCAAAATTTTACAAAAAAAACTAGTGTGTTGGACACGACCTGTTTAAAAACTGTAATCTATGATATTTTTTGCCAAAAATTAACCGGAAACCGAAAACCGGAAATTTATGAAAATGGGAATTAAACGAAAACCGGTAGTACCGGTTAATAAACGGTTGCGTCCAACCCTAATATATACTTATTAAATGGCTAGGATAAAATGAAAACTAGTAAAGTGCTCCACATAACTATACAGCCACCCTATTTTTCGAAATTTTTCCCGCTTAAATATAAATTTGGAAATTTTTACACTTAAATACAATAGGCAAACAGCAAATGGACCGATTATTATGCTTTTTCAGAAATTAGTAAGTTTTATCAGTTATTTTCCACTTTACCTATCAAAATTACCTCCACATAACCATACAGCCACTTGTGTTTTTGACCTTAGGGGTGGTCCGAAAATTCTACAAAAATTCCTGTAAACATATCTATTGATATGTATAGAAAATACAAAAGAAACGAAGTTCCTATATAATTCCTTCATTGAGATCTGAAAACCCGAAAATCAACGGAAAACCGGGGGTAGACGTCTTTAAAAAATATTTTCGGCCCCTTACAGGTGAAATAAAAATTTTATTTTGGGCTTATTTGAAAGCCCTTGAAATTTACTACAAGATAGTTTTTATCTCATTATCCAGAAAAAATTATTCTCTGAGAAATAATGAGTTTAGTTTGTAAGTTACATTTTCATCACTTTTTGGGGGGCGTTTGAGTGATTTTTATGACCTGAAAGTTTATAACATTATGTCTTTAAGGTGAATTTTTTTCGGAAAATAAAATTCATGCTATCTTGTAGTAAATTTCAAGGGCTTTCAAATAAGCCCAAAATAAAATTTTTATTTCACCTGTAAGGGGCCGAAAATATTTTTTAAAGACGTCTACCCCCGGTTTTCCGTTGATTTTCGGGTTTTCAGATCTCAATGAAGGAATTATATAGGAACTTAGTTTTTTTGTGTTTAGTATAGATATCAATAGATATGTTTACAGGGATTTTTGTAGATTTTTCGGACCACCCCTAAGGTCGAAAATACATGTGGCTGTATAGTTATGTGGAGGTAATTTTGTCAGGTAAAGTGAAAAACAACTGAATAAAACTTAATAATTTCTGAAAAAGCATAATAATCGGTCGATTTGCTGCTTCTCTATTATATTTAAGTATAAAAATTTCCAAATTCATATTTAATCGGGAAAAATTTTGAAAAATAGGGTGGCTGTATAGTTATGTGGAGGACTGTAGTAGTAAATTTAAAATTGCTACTACCTAGAGGTCTTACTAGGAGGTAATAAGGTAATAAAAAACATAATAAGAAATTAATAAATTTAATAAGAGCTAATCTAAATAAGAGGTCTTAATAATTTAAGAGGTCTCTTAAATGGCTCTCTAGCTATTTAAAATGGCTAGAGCTTTTTTTCCATCTCTCCTCCATTTTAAAATGGCTAGAGCCATTTTAAAAGAAGCTCGCATGTCTAAAATAAATGTAAATAAGCAAAAGGCAATGAGCAAAATTAAAAATTTTGGCCCGCTTAATTTTGCCTCTATTTTAAAATTTTGCCCGACTTCATAAGGGCATGCGTCAAAAACCACGGCACCTGCCTGTGTCATGGCTTTTTGCTTTGTAATTATCTTATTAAGAAACCACATAATGGTAGTGGAGTTTAAGAGAGCCACTAATTGGTAGAGATGTTTGAGAATCTAAAAGGACTCTTACCTAGAGGTCTTTTAAGAGGTAATTAAGTAATAAGAAATAAGCAAAAGAGTTAATTACTAAAAGGTAATAAGTAGGGCTCGGATTTATATTTAAATAAATCACTGAAGCGGCCATGCCCACGAACTGACCACTGTCTCTCCATTTTTTAATTACATCTATCACCGGTCATTTCTGTCTTTCTTCTATAAGAACTCAATGGTCAGACACTGGTCAGTCAAGGCTTGTTCATGACCAAGGTCGTTTTTGTGCCCTATTTAAATATAAATCCGAGCCCTAGTAATAAAAGTTAACAATTTGTGTTTTAATTCTAGTAATTACTTTGTATTATAATTTAATATTCATTTAACCTTTTATTTTTATCAATCAATTAGGAGAGGGTAGAGGACGATTTAGAATAGCCGGTTCAGAATGACCGATTCAGAATACCCGATTCAAATTACCCATAATCATAACAAATCTGTAACAATCTAATAACGAATTCAAATCAAATTGGACCAGTTATTAAAAGATGCCGAATCACATAAACTTTCGAACGATGTGAGAATTATTCGGTAAAAGTCCAGCTCTCTATCTGTATGTCCGCAAAAGCATTTCTGCAAAACTCATTTCTTACTGTATTTTCCTTCTTTCCTTTTATGGGTTGACAACTTGGCGCAACTACATTGTGACGTCAATCATGAAAAAGAGTTTATTTACCAATAATTAAAAGTTAACGAATATAAATAATTTTATGATAAAGTCCCGCTAAAATTTATGGAAGTTCAAATAGAAATTTTTAGCTTTTGTCCAGTTTAAGCATATAACAATAAACAACCTTAAGTTCTGAACATCTACCACTTTAGCATTTCAATCCAAAGATATCTATTACGCTAAAATTTTTATGTGAAATTCCATAAGTCTTGGCGGGACTTTTTCATAAAATTATTAAATTTTTATTTAATTATTTGTAAATACTCTTTTTCTTGATTTACGCCACAATGTAGAAGCGCCAAGTTGTCAACCAATCATATGAAAGATGGGCAAGGGAGGAGAATGAAGCAAAAAATGTTTTTTGCAGAAATGCCTTTTGCGGACATATAGATAGCGAGCTGGACTTTTACCGAATTATTCGAACGGACGAAAATGAAGAAAGTTATGGCCGGAGGAAAATGAAGAAAGTTATGGCCGTATACTGAATCGGCCATTCTGAATCGTGCTTTACCGAGTAGGAGATGCGACGCTAACCTTTTGCATTATTTTAAAAATTAAAAAAATTTGACGTTACTAAAAACATAGGTCAAATCATCTTTTTATCTATGATCAATTTTTCTTAATGAATTATGGTTGTTGATGGTTGCTATACTGGAAAAGGAGGAGAAGGGAGTTTCAGATAGTGTCAATAATATTAAAAGAAAGTTCTAAAAGAAAAATAATACAAGTTGTGCTGAAAATGTAGTGCACAATCCTCGTTAGTTCAATAGAGGAGGGACAGGAATAACAAATAAAATATTTATTTATTTTATTTAATTTGTTTTTTTATTTATTTAACACAAATAAAATATTTATTTAATATAAAAATAATATAAATGTGATTAATAGAGAGAGAAGAGTAGCTGATCAAATGGAATGTTCGGGGCTTACAGTCAACTAGTCAGGCCCGATTGAAGAGAGAATATTATTGCGGGCACAAAAGAAGAAGAACTTGGCCAAAAGTGGCAAGCTCAAAGAGCAACTAGCCAGCCAAAGCTAGAATAGAAAGAACTTTGCCGCTATGAGCAAGTTAAGAGAAGAGAAGAAGAAGAGCTTGTGCTTAGCAGTTTTTTGCAGTTTACAGCAGAAAAGCAACAAATTTTAAACTTTCTTTAACTAATAAACGTTTTTTCTTATCAAAATAGATTTCTTCATGTTTGGGACCTAAGCTCACTGGGTCTGGGACTATTGCTTACCCTATCCCTCGAAATTTCTGAATGTTAAAATCGTTTTTCTGAAATTTATAAAAATTGGCTATAACTTTAAGAAATTTCGAGGGATAGGGTAAGGAATGGTCCCAGACCCAGTGGGCGTAGGTCCAAAACATAATTGCGGGTATATGCATTGTTGCGGAAGTTGCATAATTTCGGATATTTCGCGGATATGGCAGTTTATATATTTTTTTTATATTTTTTTATATCTGAGAGCACGTCTGCTTTCCTATGTAAATTACCGTAAATGCTGAAATAATGTCCCTCTCTCAAATAATTACCCCCTCCAGCGAGAGATCAAAAAATAATTACCCTGGGTAATTATTTTAGCAAATACGGTAGTGTCAATTCTCTTTACTAAATTTGTAAAATATTTTTTCGAAAAATAAAACTTTGTTTAAATAAAGAAACGAAGTCGATTAATATTTAAATTTTTATTTTAATTAAATTTCTACAGTATTTATTTTCTACAAATTAATTTTAATAATATAATTTTTAATTTTCTTCAAAATTATTTAAATTCTCTCAACCCATTCTGCATTCTTTAGGCTCATGCACTTTTTCAATAAAACTGTGTTGTTTGTACATATCATTAATGTTATTTATTTGATTATTATTTTGTTTGTATAAACGCAAAAGTTGTCGAGTTTCGAAATCGGAACGTGGAAGGCATATGAAGGGAACGTTTTTTGATGTAAAGTTTTGTTGATTTATTTGCTTATTTCCTTGTTGATTTCCCTGAAGGTTTTCATTGTCTCCATTATTATACCAACCATAAGGATAGCTTCCACTTGGGCATTGCTTTATCTGTTGTTTCGAGAAGCATATTTCGTTTTCCATTTCGATCAATCTGGTTTTCTCTTGTGGGGCTAGAAAATTAAATTTATTAGAATTTCAATTAATTAGTAATTTCGAGATGGCACTGTTTAGTCCTTCAGTTAAAATTTGTTTTACGAAATACGAAGTTAGAAAAACTCGAAATTCACGAAACTCGAAATTTGCGAAACTTGAAAATTTTTGTTTAACTTGCTCTGTTGTTCAATAAAGATTTTTATCGAAATATGAAACTCGAAATTCACGAAACTCGAAATTTCACCAACCTATAATCTTCTCCATTCTATTTCCATTCATTTCACTTCTCATAATATATTGCTCATTTCCTTCATAATTATCAGAGAAATAGGCCTCATCATTTTCACTTTGATCTCCTAAAGTTCCATCAAACATTTCATCTTCCCATTCATTATATTTTTTATTTTTGTTTCCTTCCTTCATTTCGTTGCCTTTTTCTTCCTCAATTATTTCCAAAGCTTCAGAATAGCCAAATTTATTTTTATTTTCTTCATAAAATCTGTCAAGTTGTTGTTCATTGCACATTAGGTCGTTGCTGTCGTGGCTGTTCGAAAGAGAATAGGAACGATGGAATTGGGCGAGGTTGGAAGCTAAAAATGGAAATTTTTGGAGATTTTTCGGAAGTCTTTGATTTTTTTGGGAATTTTCAAAAATTATTGAAATTTCTAAAAATTCCAGAATTTTCAAAAAAAAATTTTTTTGTCTCCTAGTTTCTCACTAAATTCATTATTGGCCATTATCATTTCATTTTCATCATTTGTAGCATCATCGTAGTGTCCACAAAGTCCACATTGAGTGTTTCTATAAGCCCCCGAAAGCTTAATCCAAGCCTTGTAGCCGTTGAATCGAACGGAAACTTCGTCCAAATGAAGAGTTACATCACTCATTTTGGCATTACTGTACTCCACAAGGTTGTTCTCATTATTTTCGTTCAAGTAGCGTCCATTAATTTTACACACAATTTTGCGGCTGTCGGCTCTTTCGTGTTGACATTCGATGCTTTGTCCGGGTGTAAGAATTTTTAGTTTCTATTTTTAAATGATTTTATTTTTTTTTGAATTTTTAAATTTGCCTTTTGACTAAAATGACTAGATCCTTCTCCAGTAGACATCATCATAACTACGAAATCGGGAATATGAATCATTCTACCACAATCTTTGGCGAGAACAGAATAACAGCTGGTGGAGAGTGGAGCCTTGTATCTCTTTCCGTCTATGAAAAATCAGAATTTAGCTAAATCAGAGTTTTGTAAATCAGAATAAAATCACAATTTTACTAAATCAGAATAAAATCGTAATGATGAAAACTAGCTCGAAATATAATCAGAATTGTAAAATCAGAATAATTTCAGAATAAAAATCAGAAAAAATCAGAATCTGATAAAATCAGAATAAAAAATCAGAATAAAATCAGAATTTTTAAAATCAGAATTTAGAATTTTACGTATTAAGTAGTATAAAATCAGAATTTGAATCAGAATATGAAATCATAATGAATCAGATGAAATCAGAATACCAGAATTTTGCGAGATCAGAATTTCCCCCATTTTTAATTTTATTTACCGAAAGTCCGAACAATCCTTCCATCTATCGAACACTCTGCACGATTTTTAATTTCTTGCTGTGAGTAGAACTGGTCGAAAGACTGGATGCTTTGTACATTTCGACGTCTTAGAGAAAAAGGACGAAGCTTGAAAGGCATTTCAATTTGTTGTAGATGGACAATTTGTTCTGGTGTCATGAGGGTAATGTTGGCATGGTTTTGGGTTAGAGAGTCGATAGAGAGTGTACAGTATACCTAGGAAATTTTTAAAAATTTTTGAATTTTCTTTACAAATAGAGAACCTTTCCATTCTCCGGATTCAAGCTACTTTCACCCTTTAATTCAGTCTTCGAATTCCAAAAATATTTAGAATTGACCAATTCAACAGCCCTTTCAAACACATTTCTGGTTGCTGGAGTCAAGTTGGTATATTCCATTCTACAGTTGTAGAGATTGATAAATGCCGTTCTACGTTGGAGTTTAGTGATGAAAGGAGAGGAGTTTTGATCAGAATTTTGATTTTCCTCGTTTTGTTCTCTCTCTTGATTTTCCCCTTCCTGTTGATTTTGGAACATATACCATCCAGAAGTTCTTTCAGGTGCTTGTTCCCCAACGATTCGCATATTCACTTGTTGTTTACGTGTATCCGCTCCCCAATGCAAATTTGCAAAGCTCAAAAACTGATCAGAAGAATAATTATTAGAATTCTCCTCTTCAGCCCCTCCCGGCATAACCATTTCAACTAGGCCTTTCATTGTCCACATGCCTCTTTCTTCATTCATTTTACTTCTCTCTGCCCCAAGTCTGAGTTGGCAGACTTGCATTTTGTCGTTACATTGGGCTTGTAGTTGGACTGAAGCTTTAAATTGTTTGGAAGCTCCAATTGTTTTAGCGGACAGTTCCACAGAGTGTTTGTAATGTTTTTGGTGTTTCTGGGATTTTTGGTAGTTTGAGAGAAATGTTTGCAATTTTTGTTGTTGATTGGCATAGTATTGTTGTTGATCTTCTGGCATGATACCCTCTTGTGGCTGAAAATAGTGTTGCATTTAACGGAGGATGTTAAATAGAGGGTAAATGATTGCCACTTATAGTGAGATGTATGTTAATTAGAAGGTAAAATGGCTTTATCTTATAGAGAGATATGTGTTAAACAGAGGGTATAATGATCGTTTCTTATATTGAAGAGGATCTAAAAAGAAGGTAAAACTACTTAGGTAGCTCCTCCCGCCCGTGGCCAGCCCAATAATAGAACGTATCCTAAACTTGGCTTTAGCTAATTAGTGTATCCTATAGTATTAGTATTTCAGTTTTACGAACATTTCCTTCATCGTTGGACGTAGCACTTCTCTCGAAGAAGTTGTTCATTTTTGACTGGAATGCTTTTACAGGCTGGAAGTTTTCTGTGTTCATATTGAACACAACTTCGCTTGCAGTTCCCTGTCCGGGTTGGTATGTGACATGCATTGCGTTTTCTGTGGAAGTGAGCATTTTGAGAATTTGGACAATGTTGGCAGCATTTGAAGGCCAATGGTAATGAGCTGGGAATGAAAGAAGTTTAGTTAAATTTTCAATTTCCCACCATAAACATGGACAGGAACCCCAACATTTTTAGAGCCAATAACTTTGTCAAATTGATACTGAAGACGGTCAAGTTTTGGATTCCTAATGGTACGGTATTCTTTCCCCATAGGCGAATTTGTATTTAGGTCAATTCCAGCTCTGTAGGTGTATTGATGAGAATGAGCGCCAAGAAGTCGAGTTGTTTCTCTAGGCATTTTTACTTTGACAGTGAGTGATTGTCTAGATGTTTCGGTATTGGCACTTAGTTCAGCTTGGATTGGAAGGTTGACTTCAACGGAGCGGGTGTTGCTTACGCCGGTGATGAGGAAGGGTGTCCATGAGCCCTAAATATAAATAAATTAATGGATAAACAAGACATTTGATCTCACAATTCTCTGAACGTGTGAAACACCAGCCATGATTCTCGCATCAATTTGAATTTTAGCTTGCTGATTTTGTTTATCTTGCAGTTGAGTACTTGCTTCCACATTCATGAGCATCGGAACTGAGTTGACAATTTTAATAGGAAGTCCCACAGAAGTTGGAATTAATGCTTCTCTCTCATTAAAGATTGCCGAATATGTGTGATTTTGGACAGATTGGAGTTGTTGTAGCCCGAATTTGGAGATTAAACGATTGAATTTTGGCATTTCTCCTCTTTGAATTGACTGAAGGATTTCTTCCAGCATTGGTGAAGTAGTTGGAATTGAAGTTTGAGAGGACATTATAGCCCAATTTTGTAGCCCAATTTTTTTGGACATGTCCCAATTTTGATCTAGAGCATGGAACGAATGGTCAACATCTCCAATTCTAACACAGAGAACGGAGGATGGATTTTGCTGACTTCTGAGGAAATAATGGGAAGATTGTTGTCCAGTTGGATATCCATATTTCAACGGATTCTGTGAGGAAGGCTGTTGTTCATCTCCATATCCATACTTAAATGGATTTCGCGTCTTGATTTGAAGCATTTGATTAATTTGTTTGAGTGTCTTGCTTAAAAATGAAATGGATGAAAAGGATTCCATAATGACCCTCTGAATTTTACCTGTTCTCACTGTGTTGGTCATTATTTGTATTGGCAGTGTAATTACGAGTCTCTCCATAACTATCATAACCCTCAGAAGCTTGTAGAACATATACTGTTAACAAGTCAAGATTTGATTTTTCATTTAGATACGTGTCAGTTTTCAGATAAGAAAAGTTTGGCATCCAACGTTGAGCTTTTCTAGCACCAATAGTGAAGAAAACTCCTTCCTGTTGCTTAGAGCAGAAAGCTGGAATTTGCCATAATTTGTAGTTTTTCATGTCTTCATTGTCAATATTGACAGATTTCAAAGCGTTTTTGACATGCTTCGACACTTGTTGATCTACAGGGTTTCTCGATTCCGCCAACATCTTCAACGTCTGATAAGTACTCGCCTTTACACGTTTGTTTGGTTCCTGTCTCATTGAATAAACAATCTGGTCAATTACTGAAGGTTCTGGTTGTGTTCTCAATAGAGTAGTCAAGGCGCTAGAACGAACATAAGAATCCTCTTGATTATTCAAAAATATTGGGAGAAGAATTTGTTGGATAGTTCGAGGCTGTTTCGTGAAAAGACGGCGAAGAGCATCAATTGCTTTTACTCGAATTAGATAATCTTGAGATTTGTCGTTAATTATCTGGTCAATGTAAGGTGTTGTAGTATCAATTCCGGCATTTCCTAAAGCAGAAAGTGCAAGGAATTTATCGTAGAAAGTTGTGGCTTGGCTGTACTGCTCTAACAATGTCTGGAAATGAAAAATGAGTTAATGTCAAAATGAAATTTTTTGTGGATTAAACTGAAGTGAAAGTGAAGGAAACGAGTGCTTTCTGGATACTGTAGATTAGATCAAAAGGTGGCAAAATGGCACTTTTTTGGGGAGTGACGAAATGACATTTTTTACCCTACGGAATTTTCTAAGAAATTTACCCTTTTGTACTCTTCCTTCTTATCATCAGTACATTGCTCCTGAACGGATTTTGACACATCCTGAGATGATTCCATCGCTTTTCTGCCCTTATGTTGGCATAATTCATTGACCAACGCACCAAAGGTTAGCCAAGCTGCTTGTCTAACCGTAGGCTTGTTTTGTACATTCACATTTTGAGCAAGTTGTTTGACTTGTTTTAGAATGGAGTTGGAAGGAATCGGAAGGTTTTTCAACTGATTAATGGCAAATGCTGCTTTGTTTTCATCAATTTCCTAGAAAATCGAAGCATTATTCTACATACATAAGCTTAGTTTTCACCTCATTTTCAATAATTTCAGCCAAAAGCTTCACAGTATTTCTTGTTCCACTCGTAGCCAAGGAATCTACAAAAACATCCATTGCCACCTTTTGTTGTTTTTCTTCATCTTGACTTTTGGCATTCTGTTCAATTTGTTTTAGCTCCTCATAACTACACATTCTCATTTTATTAACTAATCTACTCAGATCAATCGTGTGCTTAGTTTTGATGCCATGATGGTGATCCATTGTGCTTTGCACGATAGATCGGAGTGCCTGGGTGGCTTCCTCAACTTTTGGCATTTTGTATGGCAGACTGTTGACATCTGGGAAGGCTTCGTCTCCGAACTATAAATGAGAAAATAAGGAGCTTCTCTCTTATAACCCATTTTTACCATATAGAAACGTCGAAGCTCCATTCCCCATTCATTCGAGTAGAGCAATGCCTCATCGGATTCTGCTGTAGCAGCGAGAGGAGCTGGTGTTTGGATATTTTGTACTGTTTCTAAAACAAGTTTTGCGCATGTCTTTGTCCTCAATGCAGAGCCGTAAAGTCCTTCACTCTCAATTTTTGTATTTTTATAAATATAGTTTGACGTCATTTCCGAATTATCTAATTGACAGCAATTTGGACAATTATTTTGTTTTTGTTCTGTTCCACATTTTAACACTGCGCGGATGACTGTTTGACGATCCAACTGTTTAAAAGAGAATTATTTTGGAACTCAAGACATTTTGAATTACTAATTTTTAGATGCCCCCAAATTGGGTAATCATTCATTTAAGACTTTTAAGATTTGATTAGCCACAGGGCGGGATACATGTCTAAGCGATACTTCCGATTTAAGAGCTATCCAAGGCTCAGCCTAAGGAGTATCTTAAACGAGTTTCTCACTCACCATCTGTTCAGTCATCTCTCTAGGGTCGCAATTTGCGCAATGATTCTCTGCTGTTCCCTCATGCTCCTCATTTACTTTTACATCCTCATTCATAGGGCATTGACTGCACTTAAGTTGAGGTTGTTCTGTTTGGAATCCGTTTGTCGAATCAGCAATTTTTGAACATTTTTTGAAATTTATCGACTTTGTAACGTTGTAGGAGCAGGGTTGTTGACTCTCTTGACATTGCTTCGATCCTTTATTAATTGTATAGATAGTTTGACATTCCCCTTCAACGGTTGTTTCAGGAACTGCAAAGCTCTGAGCTAATCTATCCACATTTTTATTCTCTCCAATGGCATTTTGTGCCTCTTCATTATGACGTAGATTCATTTGGAGCATGTTAAGCACTCCTCTTTTAATGTTTTTAGACCAAGAGACGTCTTCTTTCTCAAATTGGATGCGAGTAACCATTCCGTCGACGTAGTCGAATTGACAGCAGAGTTCGAGTTTCTGACGAGTCTCTTGGGGAATTTGCAACTGAAAATAGTAAAAATTTATTCGAATCTTTCAATTTCTAGACTAACAGGTTCAAACATTCCCATTGGGTCATAACATTGTTTTTCCTTCATTTGTCTCATATCGTTAAATTGTCCAAACTTTAATTGAGTCATACAAAGTTGTCCACGCCTTTCACTTGAAAAATACATTTGAATTTGTGACTGGATTCGAGTAATTGCTTGTTGTTGACTTTCTTCCTTTGTTCCGGATGAATCGACTGAACTCAACATTCCATTCTCTACTTGAGCATTGTAGCTATAAACATATTCGCTGTTTTCCTGGAAGTTTGGCGTTTTGATTTGTTCAGCCGCTGTATTGTACTCTCGATAGAAGAAATTTTTGAAAGGGGCACTTCTGGTCATCGAGTAGTATTCATGGGAGGATCGGTCGGCGAGTGGTATCGAAGAAGAGCCGGAAAGGCTTAAAAGAAGTAATATGAAAACGAGTGCCTTCATGATTTGTGGCTTGTTTTAATTTGGATTTAAAGCCTTTGAAGCTTTTATAGTGAAGAAAGGAAGATTTGAAAATTAAAAAGAAGTGAGGAATTGGAAGAAAGTATTGCCTTTTATAGTTGCTGGGACAAGTAAACTTTTCTCTCCCCATAATTTTGTAAAAAAATTTTTTTCGAACTTTGCCCCATTTTCATCGAATTATTTTTCCTAATCATGTCAATCTCCTTCCTTGTAAATTTAAAAATGGCGCCAAATATATTTTTTAAGGCAAAGAATTTTTTTACAAATTTATGATAAATTTTATTTTCTCTCTGATAAGCTTGGAAATAATTGACAGCTGTTTCCTTTCAAAATTAGAAATATTATTTTCGTTATCATTTATTGTAAATGACATTTTTGATATATTTTTGAAGAAAAAAAACTTTAAAATGTTGGGTGAACAAAATTTATTTTTTTAGGTTATTTTTCTATTTTTTATCACATAACTATCAGGCATTTGACTTTTTACATTTAACCCTGCATTTATGGCATTCTTGTCGAGTAGCCTCAAATGATGGAGTTTTTATAACTATAATAGTTAAAAAGATAAAAAGGAAGAAAACTGGAAAAAACAAATCACTATATGCGTTATATGTATTTTATGTCTCCATTAATATAATTGAGAAATTTTTTATTAGAACTAATGATGATATTATAAAAATGCCAACAATTAACTGAAAAATGAATGACTTTTTCCAATGACTTTTGACTATTTTTATTTTTTGCTTTCTGATGAAAATTTCAAGCATTTTGGGCGGCCCATAGTTTGTTTCTCTCGTTTATGCCGGACCCGCCGGATTTTTCTGGATTAATTCGGTTGGGAAAAAATTCGAAGACCTAACCGTGAAATACTAAAAACTACTTGAAAATATAAAGAATCCTCATAATCTTCAAAAAACTACAAAAATCCACAAATCAGCATTTTTAAAAATTATCCTCATTAACCTATCAGAAAACCACAAAATGAGGAAACCCCCTGATTAAAACACAAAAATATTTTTAAAAATTTCCCATATCAATTTATTCTCCCAAATTTAACAATTTAAATAATAAAGAAAAATCGAAAAAATTTTTTCCAAATAAATTTCCATGATTTAAAGAAGAAAATCCCAATTTTGTTTTGTTTTTAAAGAAAAGTTGAAGATATTTAACCAAAATTCCAAATCCCCATATTCTGCCAAATTTTTTATTTTTTGCTTAAAATTATAGATAATTTTTAGGGAATAATTAGATGGTTTGTTGGGTATACTTCAATTTCATTTAGTTAAATTCTATGTACTAACAAAAGATTCCGTAAGAGTGTAAGAGGTCGCTGCCTAGAGAAACTTGACCTCTGTTACAAGGGTGTGCCGAAACGGATTTTAAAAAGTGAAATGCGAAAAGCGACCCTGGCACACCCCTGCTCTGTTAGTACCTAGAATAAAAAAATTGACGTTGAAGTATAACAGACCTGGAAAGACAAGGAATAGACTTAGACTAACAACAATGTAACCTCAAAATTTTTCTGTAAAGCAAAGGATCTCCGACAAATAATGCACTTTTTAAAATAACTGAATATATCGAAGTTTCCGACTTTTTTTTTTGGTTGAGAATTCCCTATTGCCGAAACAAAAAACTATTTTTTATATCGACAAGATTCACTGTATATTCATATTAAGTTAATAAAAAATTAAATTCAATTACAATTTCCACTGATTTAACGATTTCCAACTCCAGGTGAATGTCCTGGATTGGTTGCTCGTTTGTCAGCCATTATATAATAATTCATAAAATTAATTATTAAAATAATTAAGAAAATAATGGAATTAATTTTAGTCATTTTTTGTAAATTTATTTATTTAAAGAATTATTTTTATTGACAATTAATTTATTTTATTGGTAAATTTTGCCTGTATTTATTTGGCCAAATTTTATTAATAAAAAATTGCGAAATTACCCAAAAAATTCATTTAATATTTTTAATTGTTTATTCAGCCTTTAAAAAAATTAGCTTTTTATTTTAAAGCTTGGATTATTTTATAAAGTAAACGGGACAATTCACTATATAGACACTTTGCAGAAATGCCTCCAACACCTTAATTCGCCTGAGAATAATAGAGATATCGGGCGGAACAGCCAAACGATAAG